TTTTTTCATTTAAAGTCTTTGAAATTCAGAGTATATTTTACACTTACCACACACTTCAATTCGGACTAGCCACATTTCAAGTGTTCAATAACCACGTGGCTACTGGCTACTGTACAGGACAATGTGGACTGTCAGTCTAATAACCTTTCCTAGGGACCACGAAATACCTAATTGCTGTCCTTTCATAAATAACAGTACGAAATTAAAAGACTGATGAAGGACGCTAAGTATGAAAATGAATTTAGATCAAGGCACTCACTCTTCCCATCATATGAGTAAAAATTTCAAAGAGATTTTAGAAGTATAGAATTTTTTCTCTAGAAAATAGGTTGCAATTATAATCTAAGGAATTACATATTTAAGGAGCCAGAGAAGATAATTCTTTGCACTGATAAGGAATTAATCAGTTCCTTTTTCTATAAAGTCATACAATTTTAGACCTACAAATATTCAAAACGAAATTTCAAAGCTTATTAAACTCAGTTTAAGTGACTTAATCAGGATATGCAAGGAGTACATCTGTCACTATGAACACTGAGAAAAATATTCAGAGTTAAATTCTTATTAGTTTTTAATTTTTCTTTTTGAATAACATTACCTATCCTGTGTGTCCTTTGTGCACCTACATAGGTATCAAAAATTCGCTGCAATTCACACTTTCCAGTCATTTGTCGTAAGAGCCATTTCATCCAAAATCGAAAAAAGTGCCCATAGAAGAACTCCCACAAAGAAATAAACATTTTTTTTTCCTGGAAAAGGAAATATGTGACAAGTTTAATGAAATTAAATTGAATTTTAAAATTGAAAAAAAAAATACTGTTTATCCAACTCATCAAATCTCAAATTACATTAATGTCTTATTCCATTGTGTCTCCTTTGTGATAGGGATTAATTAAGCATCTAAGAAAATAATGACAGGTGTAATATATACCACTTAGATTAATTAAATAATGGCTGGCCAAATGGCCAACTTATCACTTTTTAAAAAGTAACTGTAAAAATCAAAATAACTTACTTGTTGTAAAGTTACTTAATGGCTTGAAAGAATGACAGCAGAATGGTCTGCACTTTTTGATAAATATTTGTATATCTTAAGTTCTAATTTCTCATTCGTTGAGAATTGGGGCCCAATGGTTCAAAAACAAGAGGACCCCAACTAAGCAACAATTAAAATACACCAAACATTAGAAATGTTTTTATAAGGAATAAGCTCTTCTTAACCCTTGTGGATAATTCGTTACAGCTGTCCCATAGTCAGGTGATGACAGCAAAATAAAACACTACATATGGCTTACAAATTGACGTAGACAAGTTGAACACGGAGTAGATCACACCCTGACTAATTCTTAATTTTCCATTCAGTAGGTGAAGAGCAGAAATACTAACAAAAGTTTTTTTAAAAAAACCCTACACACTCGATAAAACTGGATGTTATAAAAAAAAAAATTCTTCAGCTTCTAAATAAAGAAGGGGTGGGGAAAACGAGGGGAAGACACTTAAAAACAAACAAAAACGCTCATCTGCTTCCTGTCTTACACATTCCCAGACACATCATCTCTAGACGAGGGCCTGAGGGACTGTCA